ACTGTCAGCTGGATGTCGGTTCCCAGCGGATCTGGTATTGGTTGTAGCTGGACACAGCATGTGTTTTCCCGCTTGTGTATGGCTGGATATCTTACTCTTACTGCAAACTGGAAGTACCATAGCCATTGCTGCCAGGTTTTGGACCAGAGATATCATCTCGCTGGAGCTTTCCACCTTCCTACTGTCTTAGTGATGTTGGTTCCCAGCAGATCTGGTGTTGGTTGTGTTGGATATGCTCACAAGTGGAGACGAATTTTGGTACAGAAGCTTGTCTTCCCTACAAATTCCTGTTTTGAGGTGAAGAGGTAGGTGATCCTCTACCTACCACGGATCTGAAGTACCATTTCAGACACCGCCTGGTGTTGGATGAGGTCGAACTACCACTACAGTCTGTCACGCCCTAGCCACTTGACACCCAGGAGTCCCATTTATTGGTCATACATATTCGGGGGTTCCTTCATGTTTTTTCCATCTTTTATGTTCGCTACACTGTCATAAATAGAGTGAAGAATATACCTGGATTAGATGTGGTGCAGTCTCCTGTTGAGGTGTGATACTTTCTCTTTTGGTTCCACACCTTATGGTCTCTCTTTGGGCAATCCATAAAGGAATTAACTTTTTCTATTGCCCCTCCACCAGTTCAGTGTCGGATTCTTGCTATTTTTGAGAGAGGAGGTAAGATATCATGTCGGAAGTTAGCATTTTCCAACATTGAAAATCTATTTCTGATAGATACTTACCTCCGCTCATATTTCCCACCCAGCTTCCCCGCTTGTGATAATAAATAGTGTAGGTCTTCTGACCAGTCTTAAAGTGATTAACGAGTGCAAATTTGAAGAGGGCGCTGCTTACGAAAGGAGTGATGTCACATTCCTATTGGTAGAGAGCTGCTGCATGATCATTTGCATGTGAATATGCAGAAGCAGGAGGTGGAAGGTTAATGGCATGTGTTGAAAAGTTGGGCCAATAGAATGCAGTGCTAATCAAGAAAAGCTATTTTGTGAGAGAAGTTAAGTATTTATCGGAAATACATTTTCAGTGTAGGAAAATGCTAACTTTTAGCTGGAAATTTTAAAAAAATACACAATTTGGCAAACTGAAATCAAAAATAATTCTTTTATTAAATAATGTAGTTGACCATAACAAGATCCAGAACATTAGTATTTAACCAAATTAAGCCTAAGTTAACTACTTGACGAGTTTTAAAACTGTTTTTTACTTGTAGTGTTTTTATCCTTAAGAATAATTAAACCATTCAAAAGATATTTGTGTCTGATTTAAGCCATGCTATTTTGTGCTTAAGTAATAGGTCTAACAGCAATGTTTTAACCCATGATCACTGTCATTGGTAAAACACTATTGCTACATACAAACTTATCTTAATGCAGTTAATCATGTGATGACTTTGGAAGAGAAAGTTTTATATTTAAAAATTTAACCTGTGTGATGTTTTATTTAACTTTCCATTAGACCATATAAATTCCTCTTTTATAATTAACTAAATTATTAGCTTAAATGAGATATACTTGTCTGTGTTTCATGGAAATATTTTCTTGGGCTATTTGCAATACAATTCTCATTAAAGGACCTTAATTAACTGGGAAAGAAACAAAGTTATTATGGTAAAACCTAAAAATAATTTCATTTTCTTGAACCCTGGCAACATAAAATAAGGTGAATAAAGAAAAAGAACCTTTTCAATTTTGAGAATTACATAAATGCTTTTCAATGTTTCACTAGTAGCATGCAGTGTAAAGGTTGCACATGTAGCCATCACATCATGCAGTAATATTTAAAATGCCTGCATCTAACATGTCTGAATCAATTTCCCTAAGGAAGGAGACAGTCAGTCTCTGAAGCATGGAGAAAGAATTTTAATGTGTTTTTTTATCTGGTGTATATTTTAAATGAAGCATAATAACTTTAAGATAATTACACTGAATTACCATGAAACTGAAAAATGTATAAATGCTTGCAGCTAATACTCATTATGATATTAAAAACCGTTGCAGGCTGTGGCTTTGGATATCTGTAAAATTTGTTTTTTAGGAATTGTTGTCGTTGAACAAAGGAAAGCATTGTAAGACGTTTTAAATTTGTTGTTTAATATTTAAAATCACTTCAACTTTTAGTTTGTATCAGGTTTTTAAAACTATATGAAATAAAAATTGTATTTTACACATTATTATTGTTTTCTAAAGCTATAGAAAATTTAAGGATAAGAATGGTTTCATATACCTGTCTCACTTATGTGTCTGATAATAGGTACATACCTGAACATACTTAATTCCACAATCTGTTATCTGGGTTCATGGATAAGCTGTTTTTAAATGAAATAAACTGCCATTTATGAGAAAAACTCCTAAATAAATTGAACTTACCTAGAATGCAGAATTGTGTGAGTTAACTTGGACATGCTTCAAGCAAGTAAATCTCTTACAAAGTATGATAGAGACAGGAAGTCAGCAAGACACCTACTTCCTGTGGGTGTGTAAGAGGTCAGCTTCCTTTCATAATGCGAGTATCAAGATTGTTAGAACATCTTAGGTTGTAAAACTAATTCCATTTTGTCAACTCTCCAGATAAAAAGATTTTGTGTGTGTGTTTAGCTTGTAGTATAAAGTGTATAAATTGTCTGTGCTGTGTTTGGATTAATAGCTAATATCTGATGTGTTTCCAAACTTGATTTGAATGATTCTTATAAAATATGACAATGATATTATTGCTTAAGTGAACAAACATTTTCTATTGTTTAACTTTCTTTGTTAGTACTCTTAAACAATAATAATCACATAAAGCATTTAAAATATTCTGACTTATAACACTATGTTAATATAAACATAAAATTTAAGGACAGCAAGGAACCTGTTGGTCCATCTAGGCTGTTCAATCTACTAAACTAAACTTAAAAAAAAAATATTGTGAACTTTTGAAATTTTCCTTTGCTAGAAACAAAAACATCTGAAGTGCTTAATGTTGTTCGCAGTTTTAATTGCATGGAATATTTTGTAAATATTGATGCCATTAGCAAGTTCTTCTGGTTAACTTTGCATGGAATTATCTACCAGAGTTTCTTTTTTGTTTTAATTACAAAACATTCTTTACTTGGAATACCCTGGCTGAAGCTGCAATATCTTGAAATAATAATACTTCTAGTTTCTCATGTTTGGAATATCTTGGTTTAAGGTTATGTGAGGGTGCCCCAGGGTGAGTTATTCACCTGATGTGGCATGCTTGTGTGCACACTGAACATTAAGAAAGAAACAAACTAGAGAAAATATGATTAGTAGAGAATTGATCATGATTATGGAGGATATCCTTTATGTACATGTATACTAAGACTTGAATGTGTTACTTTCAGTCAATCTGGGTGTGAGTAAAGGTGAAGAGATTGGGCTTGTGGGATTTGCCCATAAACATAATAGGTGGTAACTGTTATTTGGACTCATGGTCAGATGGTTGCAAGTTTTCGACTGGTGCACATCATGCTGCTGTGTCCTTCCGAGCAAGAAACTTCAACCCAGTTGTTTTAGTCTACCCAGCTATATGATGGGTACCAGCTGTTAGCTGGAGGTTGTTAAGCTGTGATGGACTGCCATCTCATCCAGGTGGAATGTGTCACCATTTGCTTGTGCCAGTTAAGCCGGAGTTCAGCCTTAGATTCATTATGCCATTTTGGAATGAGAGATATTTGATCTTGATTGTAGATGGTAATATCTCAGTTTGACTAACACGAGATGTTTAAACTTCCCCTTTGTTTCCAAATAATAAATGAAATTCTTTTTGATTTGACAAATCAGATGTGTAAAAATCCACTAGTCTGATGCCTGAGACTAGCATATTTTGAGTTCAAGATACCATGAGTTCCATATGTACCAGCTCAGGTTTAGTGTAGTTCTGCTTAAAATTTACAAAAATACCACATGTTGTTCTCTTTCTTTCAAAACATTAGATATCTACTGTCACTGAAATTTTTGCAAGATTGGTAGCTTGTTTATCGATGATAGGCTAATCCATCATAAGCCTGATATACAAACACATATGCAGGTGTGACTTGGTTACTGAGATGTAAATTAAAATGTACAGTTATTTAGCTTTGTAATTATAACACCTCCTACTCTACATGATTTTGCTGGGATTAGAATAATTACAATGTAAATTTGTATTGATATGAAATGAAACAATTGTGTCTGGGCAAAATGACCTTTAACTGCCCATTCAGAATGCAGTGGCCTTTTTCCCAGGTATGCTGGAAAAAGGCAAGATGTTTTGAATATTCGATTCCCGTATTATTGTTTTTTTTTATCATAAGTGTAGACTGGATAACCTACCCAGGGATTTTAAATGTTTATATATATTTTGCAGTAAATGTTTTCAATATGCTAGGAATACCAGTTTCACACATGTAGACTTGTTGACCTGTCTATAAATTTTACATCTTCAAAACACATGCTGTAGTAAATTGTATTATTTTCAGTTTTGTAGTACTGTGGAAGAAGTCATTGCAATGAATAGAGATATGTGTATATATTTGCAATGTGTAATGATTTAGTTGTTATAGTGAGTAAAGAATAGTAGGGCTAGTAAAATTTCCATTTGGGCTAATAAATGTCACATCTCTGTTAGTCTAACACTAGCACATCAAACAAAAGGTTTTACACCCCTGCAAATAATGTATTTATTTTCAAATCTCCATTCCACTTGTAAACAATTTTAGTGTCCCCAGGGGGGAAACAGTGAGTTTATGTACTTAAAATGCTATTTTTATGACTGCGGAAGACACGCGACACTGGTAGCATGCAAGCTGGAGTTTCTCGAAGGATCATGAATTATCGAGGAACCCCGCGAATGTCCAAGTGTTTGCCAGGCACCCTCTTTTTTAGTATATAAGCCCAGCAAATAAGCTAGCGATAGATAGATATGCAGATAGATTGAAGAGATAGATAATTGAGTCAAG